GGGCCACATTCCCGCCCAGCTCACCCAAAACAAGAGCCTGCCTCCCAAAAGGGACAGGGCTGCCCCTGCTGCAGTGGAACCCTTACCCAACTCAACGAAACGTTTGAGAGGAAGGAGCAGTGAAAACAGAGGACGGAGAAATTTATGGAAGTTAAGGAGATTTCTCTGTTCGCCGACACCAAAATTCAACTGCAATCAAATCGAGCTACTCCTGCACGTTGCTGTCACATCTCCCACTTCCAATTGACTGAAGCTGGGAGATAATCCAGCCCCCCCTGCTGTTACAAGGCCCAGAAAGTCCCAGTTTTTAGGGCACAGAGTTTAATTAAGCAAGAGGCCTTGGGACTGAGAGGTTGCCAGCTTGGCCTGTGCCAGCTGCCCACAGGCTGCACCCGCAGCACCCCCTGGGATGTGGCCCCTGGCTCCTACAGCCCCTTGCAGACCCGAAAATGGCCTCTGTGCAGGAGCAGAGGAGGACCTGCCGTGGCCATTTCCCACGACACAGTGCCCTCCAACGGCCAGCCCTTCTCCGGGAACCCGAGGAGTGCCTGTCCCCCCTTCCCAAAGGCAGCAGCACCCCCGCGGGACAGGACAGCAACCCCCACCTCTGAATGGGGGTGTATCTAAAAGCAGCACCTCTGCGCTCCCTCAGACACACATTTTAATACAGGCCACCTGAAGTGTCTTGACATTCATTTTACATTAAAACTAGAATTCGCTTAGTGACCAAAACGCGCTGAGAACTCATAAAAAGAAGGTTTAAAACGCAGGCTTTTAGAAAAATCTATTGACCTCCGGAGAACCACAGCCTGTTTTGTTATTCTGCCACGCAAGGAGATAGGCGAGCCCTATCGTTTATGAAACACTTCCTTATCTGGACTTTTTAATCATCATTTCAAGTTTACACGCTATCCCTGAAGCCAGTGCACTTAGAGCCCATAAAAACAATTCAGGAGGGTTTTATTCCCATTTAAAAAGTCAATAGAAAGGCAGTCTTCTGAATTGCTTCTTGCTGAGACACTGTCAGCACTGCGACCGAGGGAGGCCCCCCTCCCACTGGGATGGCAGAGTCGGGCTTTATGTAACCCGAGTATGGAGAGCAGGAACAGCAGAGCTCCCGTTTAAAGGCTCTGTGTTCACTGCTGGTCACCAAAGGTGCACCTTGTCCAGGAACTCCGGGGGGTTTTCCACAGAAAAGGCTCCAGGTTCAAGCAGCAGCTGGTGCAGCCCAGGGCAGGCTGGGCCCCCACACTGCCCCTTCCCAGCTGGCAGCTGAGGAGCCACGGCTGCCTGAGTTGCTGCTCCGTCACAGCAGGACCCTGGTCCTCAGCACCAGAGACACCCCAGCACCCACAGACACCCCAGCACTGAGAGACACCCCAGCATTGAGAGACACCTCAGCACCCAAAGACACCCCAGCACAGAGAGACACCCCAGCATTGAGAGACACCTCAGCACCCAAAGACACCCCAGCACAGAGAGACACCCCAGCATTGAGAGACACCCCAGCACCACAGACACCCCAGTACCCAGAGACACCCCAGCACCCAGAGACACCCCAGCACCACAGACACCCCAGCACCCAGAGACACCCCAGCATTGAGAGACACCTCAGCACCAGAGACACCCCAGCACCCAGGGACACCTCAGCACCCAGGGACACCTCAGCACCAGAGACACCTCAGCACCCAGAGACACCTCAGCACCCACAGACACCCCAGCACCCAGAGACACCTCAGCATTGAGACACCCCAGCACCCAGAGACACCTCAGCACCCACAGACACCTCAGCACCCACAGACACCCCAGCACCCAGAGACACCTCAGCACCAGAGACACCTCAGCACCCACAGACACCCCAGCACCCACAGACACCCCAGCACCCAGGCCACGGAACAGCAGCTGAGATCCTACTGCAACCACCTGCAACATCTGGTTTATCCTTTCCCCTCGGGTCAGATCCCGTACAGGTAAGCCTGTGCTTTACAGGGATTCATTTCCTCCCCATCCACAGGGACCATTTCCATCACACCCACAACCCCCAAGACCTCCAGGATTCCCTCCCGGGGACCGAGGCTTTGCCCAGCACAGCACCCGAGAAGAAAGGTTAAGCTGCAGTGACTACACGCAGAACTATTTCTCTGGAGGCATATGGGAGGACTGTATCTCACGCACTGAGATCTTTTCAGGAACATAAGGTCCTTTTTTGACAATTTCTAAGGCATGACAAAATGTCAGCTCAGTAGGAAGCTGCTAATTCCAGTTGATTCAATCACAAGTCACGGTAGTTGAATAGAACTTGAAAAGAGAAGAATGCTGGAACTGCAGAGAGCAGTTTCACGTATAAACCTCTTTTTTCCCTAATATTTTAAAATATAAAAAGACATTCTTTCTTCGTGGATCTTTTTGAGAAGATCCGTTATTAATTCAACCGCACGAGATCCAAGGAGCCTGCAAGTTTTGCTTCCACCCAAGGACACCGCCAAAGGGAACGTTTGTGGATTTGTTTGGGCGAAATTCAAGCCAAACACTCTTGAGAAACCCAAACTGAAACCAACACGGGGGGTGCTCCATTCACAAATATTCTCAACTACCAAGGCCTGGAAGTTTTTAAATACAGGGATATTTTAAGGACTGCGTGAGAGCGCCTAAGCTTCCAGTAGCCCGTGTAAATATTATTTCACAATTATTTCACAGAATCCCGGAGGGGCTGAGGTCGGCAGGGGCCTCGGGAGGTCACCTGGCTCATCCCCTACTCGAGCCAGAGCCGGTTGCCGATGGTGCGAGCAGGAGGGCACCTCTGCCTCTGGTCTGCAGAAGACGCTGCTGCTTCTCTGAGAAGCCCTTCGGCGAGTCCGGCTCACGTGGAAATCGCCGCGTTTCCCCCCCAGCAAAGGTGCCAGGAGGGGAAGCCCTGCCAACTCGAGACCCTCCAGAAAACACCTACAACAGAACTGCAAAGTGCATTTCAAACCCAGGCAGGAACAAAGGAAATTAAGAGCCGGAATATGCCCACGCACGATTCAGCCTCTCACAGCTGGAAGAGCTCTGCTTTTCAAAAGACAACACCACGCCAAGTCCAAACCAGTGCTAATGGGAAGTCATTACCCACACGAGCCAGCACGCAGTGAACTGTCAGCACACCTGCCTTCCTCAACCCTCTGGAGCTTTACCTTTACTGGAGCTTACTTACAGCCACCCTCCCGAGGGAGAACCTCCTGCTCCTGCTCTGAGCTCTCCTCTGCCCGTCACCACAGAACTGACAGCAGTTCAGGGTCTTGGCATAATGAAACTACAGCCCACCCAGCCCCGAGTACTGCCGGCACCCTCCTCGCCCTGGTCCCTTTTCCCTCTCTCTCCCACTCTATATCCATCCCTGCTGCAGTTTTAGACGGTCACTGCTCTGTCCTGAGAAGTGTCCAGCGCGGTCAGATCCACCCCTCAGGCAGTGTGGTCACCACTGCAGCTGAGAGCCCAGAGCCTTGCTTTCCCCTTTTCCAACAGCTCTGGGAGTGACAGACACATCTCCCTGCCCGCTGTTCCACAGGCCGGGGCCCCCAGCACCAGCTGGGACCGAGCACCGCGGCAGGAACAGCCCCCGCTCTCCCAGGACCCCTCCACCCCAGAGCCAAGGTGAGAGCGGCAGGGCCAGCGCGTTCCACCCTGTCCCCGCGTCTCTTTAGCATTCTGGGCGAGTACCGGCATATGTCGAGACGGGAGGCAGGGACAAAAGGCACAGGCGAGCACAGCACACCAGAAAAGGCAGCAGCATGATGTTCCCAGCCACCTCCCTGGGACCAGGCAGGATGGCTCCAGCCTCCCCTTTTCCTCACACAACAGAAGCCCCAAACAAATGTCTGGGGGTGCCCACACTGGGACAGCAAGTCCCGTTGGCCTTGGCTGCTCCTCCAGCCTGGGCAGGGCCCCCAGCAGCTGGGAAACACGGAGGATGCCCACGGACCCTCCAGCACCCCGGGAGCAGAGAGGATGCCCACAGATGGCTCAGCAGTGGGCCCGGGTGACACAGGGGAGCTGGCGCAGAGCTGCTCAGGGATTACTGTCAGCCACCCCCATCCTCACGGGAAGGCTCAAGGAAACAGCCCGGGAGGAGGAGAAGGTTCTCCCCGGGTGCAGTGCTCGCTGTGTACAACACCCAAAGCCCCAGCACGCCCTCCCTTCTCCCCAGCCTTCACACACCTGCAGAGAGCATTACCACTCTGCTCTCAGCTTTATCAAATCAACAGCAAAACGAACCCCCCCCCCCCAGCAAAACACCCACTCCAGTCCGAGAACCTCCTTTCCAATGACAATTAAACGTTACAATCATCCACTGAAATACAGGCAATAAACGCTGCCCGTCAGCTTCACAAGGCAAAGACTTTATTTTTTTTAGCGTCAGTTCCTTCTACACCTCAGACTAACGGATTACCCGTCGAGTTCGGCCCCATAAAACCGGATGCAACGCTGTTACAATTTTTATTCGCTCCCGCACAAATACAAGCGATACGTGATACAGCTGATCTACCCTGAAACCACAGCCCAGCAACGCAGCCTGCCCATTACTGATGCTCCGTGGCACCGGCTGCCAAGGAAAGGGGCACCTGACCGAGGCGGCGAAACAAAAAGGGCCTTAAACGGGATTTTTAACATTCCCCTAAGGCAAAGCGGACCGTTCTGCGTCAGCTCGGTTCTGCGGAAGACCGCGGCCGATAAAGCGAGTGGTTATCGCGGGTCCTACCCCGCTTATCGGCTCCATCTGCACCGGGACCAGGCGGTGCCCGACGCGGCTCCCGGCGGGGCTGCGGGAGGGGCGGAGGGGGCTCTTTGTCCGCACCTGCCCGGGCCGGGCCCGGAGCCCCGCGGGGCGGGCGGCGCTCGCCCTCCGGGACCGACCCTCGACCTTCGCTCCCGCAGCGCCCTCGCGGCTCCCGCCGACGGGGCCCCGCCGCGCCCCGCGCCCCGCACCCCGCGCCCCGCACGCGGCCGCCGCCCCGACCCACCTCGTCCTCCGAGAGCCCGTACACCGGCTCCGCCGCCGCGGTCGCCATGGAGCCGCTCCTCGACCCGCCGAGGCCGCCTCCTCTTCCTCCTCCTCCTCCTCCTCCTCCTCCTTCTCCTCCTGCCGCCGCCGCCGCCGCTGCTGCTGCCGCCGCTGGCCCGCGGGCGGCGGAAGGCGGCGGGAGCCGAGCCCGGCGGGAAGGGGCCGGGGCCGGGGCCGGGGGCGGGGCCGCCCGCGCTGCCGCCGCCGGCCGGGACCGAGCGCGGCCGCAGGGACGGGGAGCGCCGGCGGGGCGGGCAGAGCGCCGGGGCGGGCAGAGCGCCGGGCCGGCCCAGCGGCGGCGGGAGGGGCGGGAGGGG